GGACAACTTAACGTGGACAGAAGTTCCTGAACTGTGTCAGAGTGAGTGTCTCCACGTAATTTCATTTTCTCCAAGGCTCTATTCCAAGTACCACATCTGTATTTTTAAATCGCTCTTTCCTAATTACATTTAACATGAAACCATGCCTGATTTGACGTTGCCATACTGCCATGAAAACTGAGTCTGTGGGGTTTTTCATTTAATTTTCAGTCTCATATTCTCCTAAGGACAATCTTACTCTTTTTTAGAGAAATCTTGTGGTATTCCAGCTGATCCAGAAAATGGGCAAGTTATGGCAAAAAATCATCAGCTGGGAGCAACAGCCAATGTGGTTTGTGACCGTGGGTGAGTGTGAAGCCACTGCCCACTGCACCCAGTTTCCTGGCCAGGGTCACTGGGGTGTAAACTGGGACATTCATGGGGCTCTGCCCATAGAGTCCTCAGCACCTCTGTGGTGACACAGCCTTGGTTGGTGACAACAAGCTGATTTTGGGATGTGCCTTTACCCCCGCAGGTACAGATTGGAGGGAGCGTCACCTTCCATCAGGTGTTTACTGCAGGAAGGCAAAGCTGTCTGGAGTCCTCTTCCAGCTTGTCAGGGTGAGTGAAGTTGTGCAGTGCTCAACTGGAACAACCAAATATTCCAGCTCAGAGCACTAAGTGAAGTCAGGCCAGCATCTCTGCAAGGGGGAGCTGCTGTCACAAAGCAGGACATCACTGGTTCCTCCTGCCTGTGAAGGCCTGACAGGAACAGTGTCCACCCAGGCTGCTGAGAGCATCCCAGGGGTCACCTCCTGAGTTCTTTTCTCTGTCTCCCACAGTGATTTCCTGTCCCCCTCCTCCAGCCATTGCTCACGGGCAGCACAGTGGGAACAGCTCGCAGGAGTTTGTGTTCGGCTCCATCACAACCTACACGTGTGAGCCGGGGCTGGAGCTGGTGGGACAGGACACCCTGCTCTGCAAGGTGCCAGGCTCTGCTGAGGAACACCGGGAGCAGAGCCAGACATGGTTTTACATTTTCCCTTCAAGAGGAACAGGCAGAAATGTAATGAAGAGGGTGTGAAATGTGTCAGTGACTGCAGAGCTGGTGGAGGGAACTTAGAAGGGATTTATGT